CATTCTAGACAGTTTATCAGCTAAAAAAAGTTAATTTTGGGGTAAGTTACTCTTTAAAAACTGTACTTTTGAGGTTTAACAAATGTTCATAATTAATTTAAATAAATTACAAGTTAAGAAGAGCATGGATATTTTTCATTTTGTATCGAAATAATACAGAACCGTGAGACTAAAGTATCAAACCAAATCGTGAATTTATCGTATCAGTAAACTGACMGTCCATCAGGACCGATAACAGACTGACCCAATCTGCTGCCGGCTGAACGACTAAAAACCATCCAGAACCGCTCGGGTCCACGTCCTGCGAGACGTTAACTTCTGGTTCTATGATGTTAAAAAGGCTCCAGTTAATGATGTGTTTTTATTCTCTGCTTTGGGTCGAGCTGTGTGTGAATCCTGCCGTGCCTCGGCCTCTGAGCAAGGGTTCACGTGAAAGACTCTTTCTGTTGGCGGGACAGATGTGGACCCCTGAATGAGGGGACTCTCTGCAGCGCCGCTTCATTTCAGATGGTAATTAGAACCCGTTAAGGATTCAGTGGACCTCCTGTCCTGTGCAGCAAAAAAAAAAAAAAAAAAAAACACAGAACGTGGTCCACAGGCTGCAGAGAACTGAAGCTCGTTTCAGAGACCTATAAATGAATAAACTTTAAAAAGCTCAGCTTACAGCGGATTAACAACAATTCTGGAATATTCTGAAGATACAGATTTTATTTGTTGGTATTAGCAGATAAAACCGACGTCTCGCTCACAGGAAGCTTTTGGCCCAGTTTTTTTTTTTTTTTTCAGCTCTACCTGCTTTCTCACTTCCTGTCAGCTCAGATTTCCCTGAGGAGCTCTGCGAGGAGCGGCGGCTTCGCCTCTGACGTTCATCTTTAACAAAGATAAATAAATCAAAGCTGTTAATCTTAAATAAAAACTTTTAGCTCGTTCAGGAGAGGAGCTGGAACCTTTGTCTTATTTAATTCAGCAAAAAAAGCTCAAACAGAAAAAATTACACTCTGTAAACATGCTCTAGTTTTACTACTAATGGCTACTTTAGCTTTTTTTAACGTTGTTTTATTTTATTTTTTCTAGCACTTCACTAACACTGGGCTCAGTGAAGGTGAGTTGCTGTTGACCTCAAGCTGTGATGTCGTCAGGAGGAGGAAGGAATACTTCTCAAACCCACCGGCAGGTCTTCTGTGGAGGAGGCAGTCTGGAGCCGAGGTAGTTAAAGGAATCCATGATGAGTTGTAACATTAGACTTTATTTAATAAACATTTATTTTAATTGTAAAATAAAGACTGTAAAAATACTGTAGGATGTTTAGTTTTTATCATTTTTAAAAATATATTTTAACATGGACAGAGCCATTTTATTTCCACTCAAAGCATTCTGGGTAAATGATGACGTGGATAGGTCCTCGGTGCGAGGCTGCTAGCGAGCTATATCCACCCTGAAGGTTAATCTTGGACAATAT